ATGGTATTCTATATTTAACAGATGGAGAATATGGAGAGAAATCACGCAGTGAGGCAGGGGTGGAGGAAATGTCAGAAGGTGACTGATATTCCATGTAAAAAGTCACCTCTCATTCTGATTTGGGAGATTTTCAGCTTTCAGCAGAAAAAAAAAAATGGTCCCAAACAAGCACAAGAGATCTTTGACTTCTATGTATGTGATAAATCCTCCTTCACCAGAACTGAAGTGCTACACAATAAATTTGAACAGTGACAATGGAATTTTAAAAAATTTTGGAAAAAAATCAAATCATAGAAGCCTAGTTTCATTGGACATGAAAACACACACACATTCACACCCATAAACATACACATACACATATATGTACACACATACACATACATGTAGGTACACATAATTCTTAATTTTCTTGGTTTGGACAGGGCACCGCTCTATCTCTGCCTTCTGTGATAACCAGGGCAAGAATCTCAGCATGGCAACTAAGATGATACCTGACACTTCCTTAAAAGCCAAAACTTAGACATTGACCACTATCTGATAATCTGAGCAAATATTTTGCAGATAACAATATGTAATATAATAACCATTGTTAATTTCCTATCGTCTTGTTTTGAAATTCTGTATTATATTAATTTTTTTTATTGGTACCGGGAATCAAACTCACGACTGCCTGCTTGCAAGGCAGGTGCTTATGCCCCTGAGCCCCATTTTAATTGTTTTTTTAAAATTCTCTTTAAAATAAAAAAGATTAAACAACCTCAGGCACTGAAAAAAAATTCAATCAATGCAGCGATTTTTAAGGACATGGTTTTGTTACAAGACACATTTTTTTTCTACCTCATTTTTATTTTGTAATACATTGGGGCTCCTTATTCAAGGTGTCTTTTTTCCAACAGTATATTTTTTTCTCCCTGTAACCTTCCCCCTTGGGGATCTCCCACTCCTCTAGGGCTTTATCACACAATACCACTTTCTCACTCAGAATTCTCACTAGCTTCATTCTCATTTCTGAACTCTTGACCTCATGTTTCCAAATACCTGTTAAATTTCATCTTGTAATGGATTAATTAATGGTCAGTTTAGGTAGAAATACCCAGCTGGCGTTAGCATGGTTCTGGGTGTGGAAGATCCGCCCTTGGACTGTTGCCAGAATGGTGTGAAAGGAGAGAATGGGAGGTGAAGATGGATGCTGCGGATTTCTCCCTGATATGAACTTGGCCATTCTCATCATTTGAGGAGCTCCAGTCTCTGCTGTCCCCAGGATGGCTGCTGTTTGCTTTGGCGGAACTCTTGTCTTTCCCTTTGTCTTGAGAGTCGCTCCCTGGCCCCAGTGCAGAACTCACAGCCTTCTGGCACAGACTTTCTAGCTTCCTCCACTGGTTCTAGCTCCTTTTGGGCGCAGATCCTTGACAGGGACTTGTATGAGACATTGCTGTGGGCTCTTGACCTTTGGCGAGACTTGTGTGGGACATTGCTGAGGGATTCAGGTCCTTGGCTGGATTCTTCTAATGTCTAGCATGTGGACAGATCTTTTTCACTCTTCTGCATTTGAATTATTGGGTGAATATTATAAGATAATCCTGTAAATTTATGTATCATCTATTAAATCTATTCCCTTGCAATCCCTGACTGCTACAACCTGTATATTCAAAAGATTATAAAATGCCACGAATCAGACTAATCAGATCAATGTGTATTATGCCAATATACTGCTTTTTCCCTACATCCTTGGACCACAACATGATTTTCTCAGACACTCAGGACTATAACTTTGGAGTTATATGTTGCCTTTTCTGTGCTTGCTAATTTGATTATCCATTCAGTATAACTTTAACTTTTTTCTTTCTCTTCTAATCTGCTTGTGTGTTTCTGCCAAAGTGGACATGCTGAATGAATCTCTCTCCACTGTGCTGTTGCAGTGTTCAAAAATGGCACTGCGGTTCCATTATCAGAAGTAGTTCACTTTTGTTTGCTTGACATCAGAGATCCTCTGTTACTACAATTACACCTGCTTTTTCTCAGACTTAGAATTCTCCTCCATTCCCTACTGCAGAGACTGGCTAACTCGAATGCCTTACAGTTTTTCTCAGTGTGCTTCCTCCTTTCCACTTCCTTTTCTTGGAATGTTGTTCTTTTTCTCCTGATGTACACATCCAATTCCCAGTATTTTTCGAGAATAACAATAAATTTTACCTTGTGCATTTGTGTATTCCTCCCATTGCTTGAGTTGAAGGTGATTATCCTCTCTTGAATTTAGCAGCATTGATTCCATTTCTAAACTTGGGCATGTTTATGACTTTCTAAATTATTTTGCTTTTTATTTATGCTTTTTTTCTCCTGTACTTAACTGCAGCCAATTCATGACTTATTTAAGTCTGAACTTCTCTATTTCATGTAGTGTAAGAAAAAGATAGAGCTTTCCATAAGAAATTATCATTGGTAGGAGAGAAAAATAGTAGTGCAAATAATTACAATATGCTTAAGAATAAATGCTGAATGATCAAAGGGTTTGGAAATTCTCACATTACCTCTCAGTGGGAAGGTGAGGATAGTATAGAAATTACATAACACCATGTGTCTGGATGAAAACTGTAAAATCCTGTCACCAACAATTCTTCCTATGAGTCCAGGTGTCAAAAATAGATAAGTACTTGATGTGGCTAAGCAATCTGAGTGCCTTTATATACAAAAAGCCCTCTAAATGAGAGGTTTTAAACATGTGTTTTCAACAGATAGATATACATGTATTTTCTGAATCTTCATTGTTAATTCTTTCATTATCTCAAGTTGAAAATAGTTTAGATTTAGGTTTGCCCCACTTAAGAACTGATCAGTTATACCATAAAACTGACATTGTCCAGTGTTTAATTTTGGGTTAACTTCCCAAAATTTCACTTTTTAAATTTTGGTACAGTTGGTGATGGAATGATTATTCCTTTTTTGGTTAAAAATTGTTTTACTGCTCTGTATTGCGTATCTGCCTGAAAAACCATATGGTTTATTTGTCTGATTTTCTTTTTGTTCTTTAGTCACTGCTTTAACTTTTTCATGCATAACATCGATGAGCTAATTTTAGCAATCCTTTCTTCTAATGAATGAAACTAGTCAGAATTGTGTTCTGCTTTTTACATAAGATAATGCTCTAGAATCTGCATACCATGCACATATTAGATTGTTTTTGTACTAAATTGGACTATTCAGTTTCCATTTTGAGTTTGTAATTTAGAAGTCACATTGGCAAGATTTTTGCAAAAAATCTGCATAAGTCTCTAGCAAGCCTGTGAATCTTTAAGAGATCTATAGGACTGCTGGGGAAAAGGATGAACAGAGAATGCTAATGCTGCTCCTGAGTGTGAATGCAGGTATAGCACCAAAGTCTGTTTTTGTGATGATATGCTTATTTATGCTAATGATATTATTTGTGTTCTTTGAATTCCAGTGCATAACATATATCCCTCAGTGTTTATTAAGAAGAAAAACAGGGCGAGGGATTTAGCTTTGTGGTAGAGTACTTAGAGCCAGCATGTGTGAGGGCTTGGATTTAAACAAAACAAAACAAAACATGTATGTGTGTGTGTGTGTGTGTGTGTGTGTGTGTGTATAGTATATGAAAGCAATAAAATTTCTTCCCTAGTTAATGAGGTGTCATTTATCACTTAAAATTATTAGTAGTATATGGGTTAAATTCCTCATGTTCTTTTGGTTACAAAACAGACCTTTACATCCCCAATGAAAACTGTCTTTTCCGAAGCTGCCACTAAGCTTCTGGGTCACTCCACCAGTTGTTGAAGACAGTTGTAGATCGCCTTTTCATTAACCTTCTATGAAGTTAATCTTAGATGTTTAATATAAGTTTAAAGTAAATCTTTCAGTGCCTTGGGTCACTGTGGTAAGAAGTGTCTGAATCTGATGGGTTCTTTACCATTCAAAAGACTCAGTTCAGCTCCAGCTGCTTTGAATATGGTGTGGACTGAGGGCACTCACTGAATTGGACCCTTTTTCAAACTCTGCTCATTGTGTGCTGCACACTGGAGTGCAGCTCTGGTCAGGCGTTACCTATGTCCTCTCCCGTCAGGGTTACTGTACTCCCTTTAGCCCCATTCCAATGGCCCTGGGCTTTCACAGCCCTCTTCTCACTATTCCCAGTGGGCGGAATGGATTCTTCATAGACTCAGTCACTGAAAGGGACCCGGTTTTAATCCATGGAGAAGATAGATATTGCTGTTTTCATTTGATTGTCACCAGGCTTTACCTGTTTACCTGTACTGTCCCTTCCCTCTAGTCCAGGAAAGAGGTGTCGAAGATAGCAAAGGCAGCCTAGATAGTTATAGTTTCTTTTATATCTCTGCATGTTCTAATATGATTGCTTCAACACTTTTCTCAACCCAAAGCTAGAAATGTATAACTTTCCTTACTCTATGAGAATAAACTGACATTGGCTAATGCTACCACCCCAGTCCAGCACTTCTTATTTAGTTGCTGCTGAGATTCCTGGCAGCTGACTTTGAAGTGCTTAGGATAATTATATTAATTCTTTCTTTTTTACTATTTTAATGGCAAAGGTCATAGTTTTTTTTAAAATTAGATCCGTATTTTTTAAAATATGGATCTTCTTATTTCATTTCCATTAATTACCAAGAACTAATTAATCAGTTTTTGTTGTCTTCTTGGGGTAAAAATATTACTTTGGAAAACTGTTCCCTGATAACTATTCTCTCAGATATTAAGTAACATGAAACTGCACAGTAGACTTTTTAAAGAGAAATACAGTACTTTCTCTAGAAGAAAAACTCCCTAAAATTCCTCACTCCTTTATCTTATTTAATAAAACAATAAAACACTTGGTTGAACCAGGCTACAGACTGTTGAACGCTAGCCTCTGTAACTGACTGAGAGAATACTCTTGCATTAGATGAAGAAGATAAGTACACTATACAATAAGATACAACATATGGGTTACTGTAGGCAACAAGGAAATTCAGGGTAAAAGGAAATGTTACCTTAGGGTCATGTATTCCAGAAAGTTCTTCATAGATCTTCTCACCTACCATGACAGCAGCCAAGTTTGCTGTATATGTGGAAAGACAAAACATACAGAAAATAGCCCAAAGGTTCATTAGAAATCTTCCAGTCCAACATTTTGGAGGTTTCATGGCTACTGTTCTACCAAACAAGAGGGCATAACAAACATTCAAGGCTGACGAGAAAGAGAACACTTTGCTTCTGTTTCGGCCCTTGGGAGTCATACCGAAAGGACTCTTCCATTCGTACAGAGTGAGAAAAATGGCAGTGATGTGCAGAGCAACAAAAATCCCCAGCCACATCGTCCAGTGGAGTGGCCACATGAAGGCTCCAATGGGAGCTGCTGTGTCTCGGGTCCTCACTAAGATGCCCAAGCTGGTGGAGAAGAAAGGACTGGTGAAATCTATCACTTGGCTGCGTGCAGTATTAATGCTGAAGGAAGTGACCGCCATGTGGGCAGTCCCATTCAGAAGATCACCCACCAGCCCAGTCCAGTGGCCATTTTTCCAGGCTCCGTATTTTCCATCCCCAACAATATAAAGGTCAAAGTCAAAATTCATGTCTTCTGCTAGTTTCTCTAGCAAATCAATGCAATATCCGTAGCAACACTTCTTGAATTTTATTGGCACTGTATCATTACTGCTATGGAGACTAGTGAATAGGCTGTCCAATACGGATGAGTCATTAGTCATCGGGTCTAGACAGAGCTGCCCTGCAGGACACAAGCCTTCATCATCTACTTCCCTTGTGAAGACAAACGGGTGTTCAATCAGGGTAACTACTCTTAAATGTAGTTTGCTTGAGTGCTGAAAGTGAGCTTTGTGCCTCTGGGCCTGCTCTGGCCATATTCCATAGTCCATGACAATCCTGCCTCCCTGCCAGCTGCCCAAGCGTGTCCACATGGGCTTTCCCATAGGGTCATGTTGCAGGTTCCAGATGAAAAAGTTGTTTTCTGAGCTGACGATGGTAGAACCTTTTACTTTGATGGAGCCACTGAGGCCTCTGAAAGTGGTGTTGGCAAGAAACCTGGCAAGGAAGAGCAAAGGCAAAGAGTGAGGAAAAGAAGTGAGGATACAGGCAGGAAGAAGCACTCATCTCTGCTTCTCTGTCTTAATAAAAAGAAAATCTCTCCTATTACACAGGCATTGGCTGTATTTTCCTCAACAATTAATAGCAAGAGTAGTCCTACGTCACTGAACTAATGCAGTCTCACCCTTGGATTTTAACAGTCTGTCCAGGTGCTTGAATTAATCTTATGCCAAATATTTTAAGTTCTTAAGAAATGGGTTAACTGTTTTATGTTATAAAGTGTTACGTTCTTTTATATCTTTCCAAGTTATGAAGACTGTGAGAATTTTATCATGTTCTGTTCCTACTGTGTTTGATTGTGACTAAAATCTGCACAATAAGTTTTTTGGTGCGAGAGTGAGTTTTAGTAAATATGCTTAAGAATTGCCTCCTTAACATTAGAGGTAACCGAGTCTTGTTACCAGTGTTTCTCCTTGTAGAGTAGAAACAACGAACACCTCTGTTCTCATGCGGTTCGTGGAGCTGCATGTTGAAAGTGGTGGAATAACAATAACAAAAAGATGATAAACAGACTTGAGTTCTCAGGATTGCCCCAGGCTTTCCTCCTTCATCATTAGAGAAAAACAATTAGCCTTGGCTCCAGAGAGAGCTTCTGTCGGAAGTCAAAGAAAGGAAAACTACCAACAAAATGACACACTGACTTCTAACCCTATAACGAGGTCAATTTCAGTGTATGTCTGGCATGGACTCTACAAGAAAATTCTCGGTGATAACCTCGGTGATAACCTCTTGGAAAGATAGAAAATAGGAGGTAACACATCCTGGTAGCATTTCTACATGCTTATGGCCTCATGTCAGTATAAAAGCCTTGGATTTGGCATCAGACCCATTGGCATTTGAATATTGACATAGCTACCTGCTAGCACTGACCTTGGGTTTACTTAACTACATTTTTAATAATTTTTTGTCTTTTATTAATACATATTTGTAGTTCATAATAGTTATATTCATTGTAGGGAATTGGTTTATGCATAAAACTCATCTTAATTGTTTTTATCTCTTTCCAGTCCCATTCCTCTGCCTGTTTTAAATTTCTTGGTTCTCTTCCCTTTTGCAAAAAATGTATGTCCTGGTATCCCAGTATCTATCTATCTATCTTTCATTTTGCTTTTTAATTTGTTTATATTTTGGATTTCTTATATGAGAGCAAAGTATTTAAATTTGTGTGTCTGATTTATTTCATGAAATATTATATTCTTAACTCTAGGCTTCAGCTTTGTCCTCAGCAAAATAGGAGAAATAATCCTTCCTCCGTTGCAAGTGAAATCATGCTTGTGAAGCCTGTACCACACTTTCTGATGTGCAACATATAGTTTACCTATTATTTAATATCATTCAAGTTTTTTTTTTTAAATCAAAGCCATCTCCTGGTCATTTTTTCAAATCTTTTATTAGGATTTTTCTAATAAAATGGAGATAAAAAACTGTAATAAGAAAAAAATCATAACAAGTCAAGACATATTTCAAATTAAAAGAAATTAAATTGAATTGTGGAATGTGCCATAGTAGGTATTTTAAAAAACTAGGAGACACAAGTCTAAGTGCTTAGCAAAACAGATTCATCCAGCAGCACATATTACTCCATAATTTACAAATGCAAATAAAAGTAATAAGAAATTATAGTGCCACAGAAGGGGCATAGAAAAATCAAGAAGTGTGAAGTACATACTAATTTTTATTAGAGATAAATGTAAATCACATCTGAAGAGGCTCCTCTCACTGAGTGCAATGAAACTTCATTTTGGTAGATTGCTTGTAAGAGCAATTATTCATGCTAGCACTCCCTGGTGGGGCTCTGCCACTTAAAATAAATTCTATTTTGCAACGAATAAAGAAGTCCCAGCTATCTTAAACTTAGAACAGTTTTCTGCTTCTTCAGAGAAGCAAAGAGCCAAATCATTAAAATACACAGATGAATCAACTCATAATTTCCCAGGGACTGATAAGAAAATGACATTCAGATTTCCTAAAACATATATACACAATTGCTGACATAACTGAGGGATTAAAGAGGCTAGTAGTAGGTAGATTAATTTCACGAAGTCATTTTAGTGACCAGGAAAGTGACGTGAAAGTTGTAGAAAGAGGAGGCTTTCATTATTTGAAGAATATTTGGGACTTAATGATCATAGATCTTTAAGTGGATGCACCTTTGAGGGATCTCATTAAATGTATACTTAAACCTTTCCAGAAAAAGGCATGAGAGCTCTTTAGAATCTTTCACAGTTTATGTAGATCCTTCATTTCAGTAAAGCCTATTTATCATGATCACTGTTAACATGTAAGATGGCTGGGACAGAAGGACGGTGCTCAGCTGTCTTTGAGGCAAGCATTTGTCAAATAAAAGCAAATCCATCAGGATCTGAATCTCTCCAAGTCTCCCAGCCTTGAAAGCCCAGTGCTTGTTTCACTGGCACTGAGATACTGGGTCCCAGATAATCCCCTTCATGATAAATTATTTGTGTCTATTTTATTTTAGTCTTAACAGTGAGAATAAATTAAAATACTCTCATGAATGATTTATTTATAGTCATCTTATGTATTTGCAATATAACAATGGTGGGTAGCAAAGTTAAATGGCCACATTCTATTTGTTAATGGATTAAAACACTGAGATTCTGTTTTTGCTTAAATTTAATTCTAACATTTTCCTTTTTATCTTGTCCTACACCCAAGTAAAAAAAGAAATTGATCATAAATAATTTTATTAGCAAGATAAATGGATACAAGTACCTGGCACTATTCTTAGCAATTGTAGCTACAGAGATGAGACATTCACTGGAGTTGAGGGGCTGAGTCGATTTATGGGGAGAAAGGAAGTGAAGCAATTTAAACCAGTGTAACTATTGTGAGATTGGAGGCACACCCAGGCCACCAGAAAACTTTATCCCTTATGCATTTCACTCCAGTGTGCCAAGGAAGGTTGCTTGAAGGAGAGGCGGGGACAGCAGAACTGAGTCCTGAAGAAAGAACCCTAGTTACCTAAGAGAAGCTGGGAAGTGATGGTGTCAACCCAGGAAAACGATGGAGACAACCATGGGAAAAATATGTGCACAAAGTTTATGGAAAGAGCAGGTTATGTGTGATGCATTGTGAGAAGTAAGAGTGGAGATGAGGGTGGACACTGAATTACATCAGAGCTGAGGTCATAGTGAAGGCAAAAGAAGAACCACTGAGATTTTGTTTAGGGAGGAACATGAGCATCAGAATTAATTTTTAAATAAGTACTTGCTAGCCATATAGCAAATAATTTAAAAGTAGTAATTCATTCTTTCCTTTGCTTCTGTTCTTTCTTTTCCGCTACTTATAAGGTAGTAGCCAGAGAAGTGGGGAAGCTATGGTACAATTGAGAGATAGTCTTCATAGAGAAGAACAATGATTTAAAGAGGACCAAATGAATAGGGTTGCATTTAGTTCACAAGCAATATGAAGAATGTGTGGAGCTCAGCTTTGCAGAACATCATGTAAATGTGGCATAGAATACAAGCTGGATGACAGCCCAAGAAAAATGGGGAAAATATCATCTTAAAGTGCTTTAATAGAAACTTAAGAGCCATTATCCCAGATAATAATAATACTACCATTCTCTATGCTGACATTCTCCAGCTTAGACAAATACTCCAGTAACAAATCTTTCAGATTCTGGAGGACTACTAAAACAAGTGCAAAATATAGGAGATATTAGTAAGCGCAACAATCTGATTGGAGAACGTGCTGGAAAATATTAGAAAATAATATAGGAAAAATAGGCTGTACTTAGACTCTAAAGGTCTTACATCCTTGTCTTACAAGACAGGATTTTATATTTAATAGTAAAAAGAGAGATGTGAAGAATTCTAAGCAGAACCAGAAGTCAACATTAGTAACACTGACACTTAAAGAATTAAAACAGAAGGCAGGAGTACTTTTGTATAAGGCTCTGGATATCACTCAAGGGAGAATATAGTTTAATACCATGCCTTTCACACTGTGATATTTGAGAAAGCAACACAGCAAGCTTTCCAAGATGTCTCTCTACTTAAAAGAATGAGTCTCATTAGTTAACGTTACTTAATTAAAAGCTCCCAGTTATGTCACAAGTTGGGAGTAAGTGTTGATTTGTATAGCAGCTGAGTTAAGATTTGCGGTTTGCAAATTACTTAAAAATATTTTTGAGACAGCTCACAGTATCAGTGAGATCCTTATTCAATATACTTATGATTTATTTTAGAAGCTACATTTGGACACAAAAGCATGACATAACAATTAAAGAACTTTATTAATTAAAGCAAATGAACAAAGATATTAACAAAACAACACATCATCCAGCCAGCTTGCTCTGTGGCAGGTCTGTTTGAGATGCTAGGTGCATAGTAGAGAGTGAAGACAATAATCTATGCAGCTCAAAGCAGCTTATATTATATGAAAGGAGACAGAACAAACATGCAAAATAGGAGATATGCGTGACATGTGACATAGCACAAAGGCAAAGGACAGAAAATATGTTAGAGAAGGCCTTCTGTCTGAGGAGGAAATGTTTGAGTAAAGGTCAGAGGAAAGGGAATAATGAAGCACAAGGATACTTGTGTAAAGAGCACTCCACATGCAAGGAAAAAGAAGCCCAACATCACGGAAGGTGCAGTGTGTCTGATGTATTTGAGGACAAAATGAAAGAAGGAGAATTGAAGATGAGGTCAGAGAAAATCTGAGGAGGAGTGAGACTCGAGATAAACAAAACTACAGGAGAACCAGGTTTGATGCAGGGAAGAATCATCAGGAGTTCGATTTTGTAACTATTAGAATTTGAGATAATTTATAAGTATCCAAATGCAGATATCAAATAGGTAGTTGGATTACTTTTACATACAAAAACCTCCTGCCTTATTCTATAGTCTGTTTTTCTGTGTTAGAATATTCCAATTTTGGGTAAATATTCTAGGTACTAATTGAAGTGAGTA